GAACTACAGTAAAAGAAAACCAATATATATATATATATATATATATGTCACATTTTGCAGCACAGTCAATGCTTTACTGCACTATTTGTTTTGCCCAAACACCCAAGCAAGGCCCAAAACATACTTGTTGATCCTGTTGGCTACATGCATATTTTCTAACCTTCTGTGATGGAGTGACAGCGCTATTTTCCTGTTTGAAAATGTGGGCAGCACTGCCACCTTCACATTGGATGTTTATACGTAAAGCAAATTGAAGGGTAACGCTTGGACTGGATGGTGAGAGTGAAGAGACAATCTTTTCAGGATGGAAGAGACAATCTTTTCTGGAGGAAAAAGACCTGAGCTCGAGTTGTGTTCAGAACCAGACCCAAATCCTGCAGACGGAGAGTGGGATCCATTGGGAAATTGTCCATTGCCCATTCACAGAGAGAGTCTGAACAGAACAGTCCTTTAGCAGAAGGTTGTCCAAACATTTTACAATGTTGACACTCTGGGAATAAACAAGGACCAAAACAGGAGCTAGTACCTTGGTGATGACCCTTGCAGCTGTGGATAGGCCAGTAGCAACAAGCTGGAAGCTTGTCTACCACAAAATGCAGAAATCTCTGGTGCGAGGGAAAGATGGGACCGTGTAGGTAGGAGTTCTAAATGTCCACAGAAGAACAACAGTGCCCCTGCTAAAGAGATGGTACAACTGATTTGGTTGATTCCATGAGGAACTTCCGGGTCTTAAGAAAAATGTTTAGGCACCTCAGGTCAAAAGTAAGAAGAACAATGTAAAGTAAGATGAACAATATAAAGAGGTCAGAGTAAAAACCATAAAAACCACTACTGCATGGGAATAAGGAGAAGGAACTGAAGATCCTGCCACTGTTGAGGGCATGAAGCGGGGAGGAGGAAGTGTCTCCAGCCACTGGGAGGAGGGTTTGGAAGTGGTCTTGACTGGTGGCCTGGAAATCAGGGCTTGCAGCAAAATGGAGTGTTGGACTTGGACTTAGAGGAGGAGGCCTGGAAGGAACAAAATAAACTCTTCTGAAATATGGAAAAGGGAAATTTACCTACAGGGACCTGTTCTTTCTTTTTACTGGGCAAAAGCCTACAGTGACCTCCTTGATGAAGAAGTTCAGATTAACAAAGAAGAGGCATTCCCTCGCAAAGGTCATTCACTCCAAGAATTTCTTTCAACTGCACAGATCAGTCCGTGAACCACAAGATTTTCCACATCTAAACGGAGAGGAGACTAACCTTGGATATCTGTTGAAGGAGATCACCCACGCAGTATTGCAAGGCAGTGGAAAAACTCCAGGTGATAGAGGACCAAAACATTGATAAGAATGGAGCCCAGTTGCGGGCAATAGGCCTAGACCACACTGCAAAAGGTCTTGTAAGTTTCTATGGCCACAGTAGGTGGCTCCATGGCATGACCAAATAATGCAATGGAAGCTTTATAGTGTATTTCCATGTTTGCAGCCAAACTGGTATATTACCTACTTGAATTTATTTTTGAAGATGTACTGTATGTCTTTCATGCTATGTTGGTGTGTGAAACCGTAGTCTGTTGTATTTTTATTTCTTCTTTAGCACAGAAGTATCTGGTGATCCTGCCAGCCATGTTTCAGCAATCTTATCACGCCAAGTAAGGAAGGAGATCCATGCTGGCATGGTCAGTTTGAATCAGTGTTTGGTAAAACGAGAGGACGCCGTGCTTATGCAGTGTTCCTGTATCTCAGTAGTCTGTTTTCTCTGCACAGATCCCACCTTTACCAATATGCTCCCCGCCAATCACAGCCTGCCCTTCAGGACACCCTCCATCCTGCCAACCACAGGTTTCCTTTTGCACATACCTCCTTCCAACCACAGCCTGCCTACCCAGCATGTCCCCTGCAATAGTAGCCAGTAAAAGTCTGGAATGTGCTTCTCATCTGTGTCTGAGGTCATGAACAGCCCTCCCCTTGAATAAAAAGACATATGTCAGGCTGACAATGCTAAGCTGCTGCCTCACAACTGGCAGAAGCACTGTAAGCCTGCCCTGTAAGCTCCTTTAGTTGGCCATTGGGCTGACTATCAGGTCTACCAGATAAGCAGCCCGCTTGACAACTGGAGTGCACATGGCAGGATGACAACACGAGAACGTGGACGAGAAGTGGTTTTACTTTAAACTGCGTAAGGCTACTTTCACACTGATCTGCTGCAAAAACGCATAGGCGTTTTTACCACTTTTTTGCTGCACTTTCTGAGTGATTTTTAAATGGACGCGTAAATTAAATTTAAACTGCACCAAAAACACTTCTCAGAGGCGTTTTTGAGGCGCTTTTCAGGTGTTTTCAGTTGATTTCAATGCGAGGAGGAGTTTTTTGGGCCGTTTTTTTAACTCACCAAACGTGCCCCAAAGATGCTGCAAGCAGGAGTTTTTCACACCGCACCGCAAGCACAACGCCTCAGTGTGAAAATATACAAATATACATTCACATACATAAGGAAGCATTTTTCTTGCGCTTTTAAACACACAAAAACACTTCAAAAACTCCACAGTGTGAAAGTAGCCTAAGGCTTTCTTTACTGTCAGAGCAGTAAGGATGTAGAACTCCCTTCCACACTTTGTGTTGTCTGAGGGGAGTGTCGATAATTTCAAAAAAACTCATGGGCATCTTAGTGAATGTAATCTACAGGGATATAGGAAATGGTATTTACATAAACACACATACCTACACAGGTAAACTTGGTGGACTGATGTATTTATTCAACCTTACCAACCATGTAACTATGTAACACTATAAAATAAAACAAATATAGCTCTGCGCCTTGAATAAAACAGTGTACTAGGTACTATAGTAGTGAAAACTTATAGTTTCTGTCTAAATTGTCCCTAGTATGTGTATGTATGAATGTGAGATAGGGACCTTAGATTGTACGCCGCTTGAGGGTTAGGGACTGATGTGAATGTACAATATATATGTAAAGTGCTGCGTAAATTGAAGGCGCTATACAGTGGGGATCGAAAGTTTGGGCACCCCAGCTAAAAATTTGTATTAATGTGCATAAAGAAGCCAAGGAAAGATGGAAAAATCTCTAAAAGGCATCAAATTACAGATTAGACATTCTTATAATATGTCAACAAAAGTTAGATTTTATTTCCATCATTTACACTTTCAAAATAACAGAAAACAAAAAAATGGCATCTGCAAAAGTTTGGGCACCCTGCAGAATTTATAGCATGCACTGCCCCCTTTGCCAAGCTGAGACCTGCCAGTGTCATGGATTGTTCTCAATCGTCGTCTGGGAAGACCAGGTGATGTCAATCTCAAAGGTTTAAATGCCCAGACTCATCTGACCTTGCCCCAACAATCAGCACCATGGGTTCTTCTAAGCAGTTGTCTAGAAAACTGAAACTGAAAATAGTTGACGCTCACAAAGCTGGAGAAGGCTATAAGAAGATAGCAAAGCGTTTTCAGATGTCAATATCCTCTGTTCGGAATGTAATTAAGAAATGGCAGTCATCAGGAACAGTGGAAGTTAAAGCAAGATCTGGAAGACCAAGAAAAATATCAGACAGAACAGCTTGCAGGATTGTGAGAAAAAAACAATTCAAAACCCACGTTTGACTGCACGATCCCTCCAGAAAGATCTGGCAGACACTGGAGTTGTGGTACACTATTCCACTATAAAGAGATACTTGTACAAATATGGTCTTCATGGAAGAGTCATCAGAAGAAAACCTCTTCTACGTCCTCACCACAAAAATCATCGTTTGAACTTTGCAAATGAACATATAGACAAGCCTGATGCATTTTGGAAACAAGTTCTGTGGACCGATGAGGTTAAAATTGAACTTTTTGGCCGGAATGAGCAAAGGTACGTTTGGAGAAGAAGGGGCCTTCACAATCTCCTGACCTCAACATAATTGAAAATCTATGGATAGACCTTAAAAGAGCAGTGCGTGACAGACAGCCCAGAAATCTCAAAGAACTGGAAGACTTTTGTAAGGAAGAATGGGCAAAGATACCTCAAACAAGAATTGAAAGACTCTTGGCTGGCTACAAAAAGCGTTTACAAGCTGTGATACTTGCCAAAGGGGGAAGTACAAGATATTAACTCTGCAGGGGGCCCAAACTTTTGCAGACTCCATTTTTTTGTTTTCTGTTATTTTGAAAGTGTAAATGATGGAAATAAAATCTAACTTTTGTTGATATATTATAAGAATGTCTAATCTGTAATTTGATGCCTTTTGGAGATTTTTCCATCTATCCTTGGCTTCTTTATGCACATTAATACAAATTTTTAGCTGGGGTGCCCACTGTATATAAGTACCTGAAATAAATAAATAAATATAGTTAACTATGTATCACAGACACTACTTGAGAGGGAGTGGGTTAGCACTGTCAGACTGCAACAGGAAGGGCTGTTACTGGCAGTTTCTCCGGGTAAGAAAGTTTGCAACAGATTCACAAAAAAAATATTTTTCTTAAAGTAGAATTACAGCCTCAATCTAACAATTATAAAATTGTCCCCTCCCACTTTGTAACACCTAAACTGACTAACCTGTGTAATAAAACAATGTATATACTTACCTATTTTCAGCCCACTCCAGCCCTGTCATGTGATCTCCGGTGTCAGCCAGCAACAGCTGCAGGGGAGAAGGTGATCAACAGCAACTGGGATTGCTTGGGAGCGGTGACTCCACCCATAGGCTCCCATGTCGACGCTCCCTCCTCTCCCATGTAGCCGCTGCTGGCTGACAGAGGAGATCACATGACGGGCTGGAGTGGGCTTTTTTTTACACAGGTGAGTCAACATGGGTAGTAGGAGGGGGGAGAGGACAGTTTTAAGACTAGTTAGGTTTAGGCTGATATTCTACTTTAACCCCCCTGGCGGTATTCCCAAGTGTAGCTCGGGGTAAAGTTTCAGCACCACAAGCGGTAACTCCGACCTACACTCGGGAATACACTGCAGCGTTGCTCCGGGATCTCTTCTGCACTTACCTTGTCCTGCGCTCCCGCGAGGTCCCACCTGCAGTGTCCCCGACAATGTCCTCCGGCCGATGCCGGCATCCGTCTTCCGGGTTCCATTCCCTGCGACGTCGAGACGTACGGGGCGGAACGGCGGGAAATTTGAAAATTTTAACCACTTCTTGTCTGGACACTTTTACCCCCTTCCTGCCCAGGCCAATTTTCAGTTCAGCGCTATCACACTTTGAATGACAATTGCGCAGTCATGCAACACTGTACCCATATGAATTTTTTACCATTTTTTTGAGACAGATAAAGCTTTATTTTGCTGGTATTTTTTCACCGCTGGGATTTTAATTTTTTTTGATATGTAAATAAAAAGTCCAAAAATTTTGAAAAAAAAGTGTTTTTTCTTATAAAATTTTGCAAATAAATAATATTTCATCATAAATCTTGGCCAAAATGTATTCCGTTATCTTTTTTTAAAAAAAAAAATAAATAAGCCAAATTAGTTTATAACCAAAAATTATAATTTGTAAACATTTTTTTTTACATTTTTATTTTTTTTGTTTATTATTATTATTTAGGTTTTTTTTTGTTTTCTTTTACATACTGTCACCCTAGCAGTACAATGTCATCATACTGACACTGTACTACTTGTGGGGGGTGATGAAGAATTTTTTTTTCTTTTTTTTTTTAACCTGATTGCTTTTACACTTATATAGGATGTAAAAGCAATCATTTTTCCTCTCTGGCTGCATTCTTGCAGCCATTGAGAACTACTGAGTGAGCTTTGATTGGTTACAGCTTGTCACATGGTACAAGGCTGTTGTGAATAGCCTTGTACCATGTGACCTCTGTGATCATTCACAGATTTCACACATAGTAAGCAATGATGTCACAAGTGACATCTTGCTTACTACTTTGCATGTGATCACTGATTGGCCAATCAGTGATCACATGATCGGGACCTCGTACAGAGGTCCCAGCCGACGATCGGTGTTTCACTATGTCCGGAGGACACAGCGGGCCCCGGATCGTGGTGCTGCACGCTCCCAGGGAGCGCACACAAGCAGGGTGCCGGGAGGCCGTTTATAAATGGCCACCCGACCCTGCAGTGCCACCGTCCGGCCGTTTATATACAATGTCCGGACGGGAGGTGGTTAAAAGTGACATTCACTAAATACACTAAAATCACATAGTAAAACATTCCTGTATCAAACCATTTCACATACATTTTGTCCCGAGTGCTTTGTCCGGCGCCCTGCCTGCATTTTTACTGTTCTTTCTGCCTGGAAACTGAGAAACGTCCATGGCGTCCAAAAAGCGTCCCTTTAGGTCAAAAGCGGTTTTAGACCGGCTAGAGAACAGCGATAGTAAATTAGAACCACTTGCAGAATTGAGTGATAATGATTCGTGGGGGAAATTCCTCATCAGACACTGAAAACGATTCTGCGACTTTGCTCAGTGATGTGCGAACTTGGCGCTCTATTTCACATTTCAGTGTTTTTGGTTTGATTATATTATTGAATTAAATTTATTATTATATCATTATTTTTTATGATTATTTATTAAATTATAAATTATGATTTCGTGTTTGAAATTTTATCCTACCCGGGATGTTTACTAGACTCTTGTTCGGACAGATTTCAGTGAGTTATTCCTAAAAATTACAGGCCTACAATAAAAAAAAATACATATTTCCATGCAAAAAAAGTACCGCTTTGAGCACAGAAATATGGACATAATCAGACCGCTAGGGAGGCTACGAAAACTGTACAGAACAAAGCAGGTCACCAAACATACTTAAAAAAAAAACATTTTAGATTTACATTTAAAAGAGAGATTTTACTTGCATGCAAACCGAAGAACTGCATCCTTCTGCAATCAATAATGTACTTGTTTTCTACCCACAATGCCACAAACATGAAATTGACTTCATGTAAGCAAGTAGACGTAAATGAAATAAAAACTATCATTCGCACCAAACCAAGCAGATACATGTGCCTGCTGGCCCTTTAAAAACAACAGTTAATACTTTTTAAAAAAAATCTACAAAAGAAAAGAAATAGAAAAGGTCAACTTGGGTGAAAAATCGCTCATCCCCGTAGATCATAAATCACAGTCAGGGTCAATTTCATAAATAGCTGTGCTGAAATATAAAATGTGGAATGTGTCAAGGTTAAACCCTGCGGAGCGGGTGATAAGCTTGCAGACTGAGACATAATTAAAGATTCTGACGTCCTTGACCTTGGGGAATGAATAGATCTCAATTCAGCAATCACTCCGACTTTTCTGAAGAGACACAAGGTCGTATTATATTAGGACACTGAACACTTTTTTTTGGGAACTGGTGAGTCTGGTTTGAATTAAAGGAAAAACTCCTATTTTAGTTCTATAATCTCCATCAAAAATGACTTTGCTTGGATAGCAGTCCCAGTCCCATGTGGCCTCATCCTTACTATACAGTTGAACATGCTGGTATCCTACTTTTATTTTATATAGTTGCATTATTGTTATATGCTGCAGTATATTTGACCAAATTCTAAAACAGTTGTAAAGATATTTTTTTTATTTTACTAAAGTAAAAAAGAAGTTATACTTACCTAAAACCAAATCTCAGCAAGCCTTCACACTATATAAATCTGCTTTCTTAACCTCCTTAGCGGTATTCCCGAGTGTAGCTCGGGGTAAAATTTCTATACCAAGATCGGTAACCCCGAGCTACACTCGGGCTTACCATGCGGCGTTGCTCAGGGGGTCCCTGCAACACTTACCTTGTCCTTCGCTCCGGCGATATGTCCCCTGCAGCGTCCCCGGCCATCTCCTCCGGCCGATGCCGGCATCCGGCTTCCGTGTTCCGGTCCCTGTGACGTCGGGATGTACGGGCGCCGGAACCAGCGGGAAATTTGAAATGTTTAAAAAAATGTCATTTTTGCTGTCATTGCTGTTTCAATGCATTTCACATACATTTTGTCCCTACTGCTTTGTCCTGTCCCCTGTCTGCATTTTGACTGTTTTTTCTGCCTGGAAACTTAGAAAAGTCCATGGCGTCCAAAAAGCGTCCCTTTACGTCAAAAGCGGTTTTAGAACAGCGATAGTAAATCAGAACCACTTGCAGAATTGAGTGATAATGATTCGTGGGGGAAATTCGTCACCAGACACTGAAAACGATTTTGCGACTTTGCTCAGCGATGTGCGAATTTGCCTCTATTTCAAATTTCTGGTTTTTTGGTTTGATTATATTATTGAATTAAATTTATTATTATTATTTTTTTATGATTATTTATTAAATTATAATTTATGATTTCGTGTTTCAAATTTTATCCTACCCGGGATGTTTAATAGACTCTTGTTCGGACAGATTTCAGTGAGTTATTCCTAAAAATTACAGCCCACAATAAAAAACTACATATTTCCATGCAAAAAAATGGTACCGCTTTCAGCACAAAAAATCGGAAAGAATCATACCGCCGAGGAGGTTAACATACAATTCCTCCCTCCATGCTGCCAAACAAGCCCACTTTGTCACTCTCATCAATAGCTTGTCATCCAGTCCTCGTCATCTCTTCTCTACTTTTAACTCTCTACTTTCTCCACTTCCACCTCAACCCAGTAATTCACTCACTGCTTACGATATTGCAAATCATCAAAAACAAGACTGATGCAATTCGTAGGGGCATAACCACTGCACAGACATCTATCCACTTAGCATACCTTATACTAAACCTCCCTCAACACTTTCCTCTTTTGACCCTGCTAGTATTGAAGAGATCACTAAAGTTTTCTCAGAAGCCCGTCTCACCACCTGCCCCCTGGATCCTGTCCCCTCACAACTACTATGATCACCCTCTTCTTCTATCCTATTCTCCCTCACTCACATCTTCAATCTCTCCCTCTCTAATGGCGCCTTCCCCTCCCCTCTAAAGCATGCACACATCACTCCCATACATAAAAAGCCCTCCCTGGATCCCACCAACCTGAACAACTTAAGACCCATCTCCCTGCTGCCATTTATCTCTAAACTCCTGGAACGCTTAGTCTACATTCGCCTGAGCTCCTACCTCACCGACAACAACCTTCTTGACCCTTTACAGTCTGGCTTTTGCTCACTACACTCCACTGAAACTGCCCTACTAAAACTCACTAATGATCTACTAACAGCTAAAACCAATGGCCACTACTCCGTACTCTTACTACTTGACCTCTCTGTGGCTTTTGATACGATTGACCATCCCCTCCTCCTGAAAAAAACCCACTCTTGTCCTCAGAGACTCTGCTCTCTCCTGGTTCCCCTCCTACCTATCGCAGCGCTCCTTCAGCGTTACCTATAACGCTGCCTCCTCCTCTTTACTCCCTCTCTCTGTAGGGGTCCCTCAAGGTTCTGTCCTTTGACCCCTTCTCTTCTCCATCTACACCTGCTCCCTTGGTCACTTGATAAACTCCCATGGCTTTACATACAGTTGTGTTCGAAATAATAGCACTGTGTTGAAAAAAGTGAATAAAGCTGAAAATCCTTCTAATAGCTTTTATCTCCATCCACACAAATGCATTGGGAACACGACACATTCTATTCCAAATCAAAACATGAAGAAAAATAGATCAAATTTGTGTTGTTCCTTTAAAAATTTTGAAGAAAAGTGAATATTAGACGGTTCAAAAAAATAGCAGTGTTTGTATTCTTCTTTACAAACTCAAACATTCACTATATAAACTGAGAAATGTTTGAAGATTTTGCTTTCCTTTGAATGACTTCATGAATATTTGGTTGTAGTCGCACTGTTTCTGAGAACTGCTGTACATCTGTGTTGCATGGAGTCCCCCAACTTCTGGCCCCTGTGATCAGGTATTCCAGCCCAGGATGATTGGACTACATTCCACAGTTCTCTATTTCTTGGTTTTGCCTCAGAAACTGCATTTTTGATGTCACCCCACAAGTTTTCTATTGGATTAAGATCCAGGGATTGGGCTGGCCACTCCATAATGTCAGTCTTGTTGGTCTGGAACCAAGATGTTGCACGTTTACTGGTGTGTTTGGGGTCGTTGTCTTGTTGGAACACCCATTTCAAGGGCATTTCCTCTTCAGCATAAGGCAGCATGAGCTCTTCAAGTATTCTGATGTATTCAAACTGATCCATGATCCCTGGTATGCAATAAATAGGCCCAACACTGTAGTATGAGAAACACCCCCATATCATGATGCTTGCACCACCATGCTTCACTGTCTTTACAGTGTACTGTGGCTTGAATTCAGTGTTTGGGGGTCGTCTGACAAACTGCCTCCAGCCACTAGACCCAAAAAGAACAATCTTACTTTCATCAGTCCACAAAATGTTGCGCCATTTCTCTTTAGGCCAGTCAATGTGCTCTTTGGCAAATTGTAACCTCTTCAGCACATGTCTTTTTTTCAACAGTGGGACTTTGCGGGGACTTCTTGCAGATAGCTTGGCTTCACATAGGCGTCTTCTAATTGTAACAATCCTCACAGGGAACGTCACACCTTCTTTCATCTTCCTGGAGCTGATTGTTGGCTGAGTCTGCGCCATGTTGGCTATTCTTCTATCCATTCCAATGGTAGTTTTTCACTTTCTTCCACGTCTTTCAGGTTTTGGTTGCCATTTTAAAGCATTTGCGATCATTTTAGCTGAGCAGCCGATCATTTTCTGCACTTCTTTATATGTTTTCCCCTCTCCAATCAACTTTTTAATCAAGGTACGCTGTTCTTCTGAACAATGTCTGGAACGACCCATTTTTCCTCAGAATTTCAGAGAGAAATGCACAGTAACCAGCATGTACAACATTTGCTGCCTTCCTTCCTTAAATAAGGGCAATAATTGCCACCTGTTTTTCAAAAAATGAATGACCTCACTAATAGAACTCCACACTGCTATTATTTTGAACATGCCCCTTTCAATTAGTGATTCAATGACACAGAATCAGCAGCATGCATGTCATGACGGTTGGGTCTGTTGGATTTCTATTACTCTACTACACCTGCTAGGAAATTATTTGCCAAGTAGAAATATCATTTCTACCAAAAACAGTGATTGATCCGGTTAGTGATATCTCACTGCTATTATTTTGAACACAACTGTACCATCTCTATGCTGATGATATACAAATCTATCTTTCTACTCCTCACCTCGCCCCTTCAGTCTCCTCTCGCATTACTAACCTACTAAGTGACATATCAGCGTGGATGTCACTCCACTTCCTCAAACTCAATCTTTCTAAAACCAGCTCAAGCTCATAAAACTGGTCAAAAAAAGTCCAAAAATGTCGGTTTGCGGTGTTTTGCCGCGTTTTTCAGCGTTAGAGCGTTTTTTACAGATAAAAAACTCCTCTAGAAACCCACTAGTCCTGTTTTTTTTTTTCCCTGTCTTAAAACGTTGATTCCAGTCTCTGTGTGTATGGACACATAGGATAACATGCTGGAGGGTTTAC